GGAGCGCGCCGCGGGCGGTGGCGGGGCATCTCCCTCCCTCCCCTGTTCGGGATTCCGGCGGCGGGGTCCAACAGGGTTCCCGGTGGCGGTGACGCGCGGATCCGGCGGCTGGGAAGTGGCGGGCGTCCCTGCAATGCTGGCGGCGGAGGGCTAGGTCGCGGCCCGACCTGGATCTCGTCGGGCGGCTGTGGGCGCAGATGGCTAGTGGTGCGTGCTGGTGGGACAGCGGCGGCAGCTGCTCCAGGTCCGGCCTGGCCAGCGGCGCGGGTCTAGGATGACCTGGGCTGCGGGCGGACGCCCACGCCTCGGCCGGTGGCTGGTAGGGGTGGCGGCGCAGTAGCGGCGGCCTTGGCAGACGTGTTGGCCGGATTCCAGCCGGCTCCGATGGCTGGACGTCGGCGAGCGGCATGGTTGGACTTCCCAGTGAGCAGTCTTGGTGGTAGGTGGCAGTCTGCGGGGTCCCCTTGCCGGTGGACGGACCTACGTTGGTGGCCTTGTGCAGATCTGCTTCGACCGCCGCGGTGGGGCGGCAAAGTGGGTGTCCGGTGGGGAGGTTGGTGGGAGGGATGGGCGTCGTCGTCGGTGAGGCTGCCCGTCGCTGGATGCGTCCGCTCCCCCCTCCTCCCCATTCCCCATCCGTTGTGTGCGGCAGCAACTCCGCATAGTTCAAGGCGGGACGGGGGTTGCGGTTGAGTCGGTTTTGGGTGTCTTCTCAGACCAAAGCTGGTCACTTTGGCTGCTCTTGGGGAGGTCCGTATGTCGGGCAGCGGCTCGGGTGGCGGGAGGCGCAACGTTCTTGGGCGGAGCATGCGTCTCAGGTGTGGGCAAGCAGCCATGGCCACGCGGGTGGCTTGGTTGTGGGTGGTTGCCAAAGCTAGGGTGCGTCGGAGGGAGGTGAGCGTCGGGGTATATCATATGTCCAACTGTGTTCTGGCCGACAGTGGCGGCGTCGGTGACGTCGTACCCTTCCTGAAGGCTCCGTCGTGGTGTTCCCTCTCCCTCCGTCTTCCTCCAGGTGAAAACCTGATCTCTGGATCGGGCGGAGGCGGCTCTATGGTCGTTACATTCTGGGAGGCACCGCTATGGAGTCTTGGCTTTGTCGTTGTCCGTTTCACCTCTCCATGGTGGTTTGCATGATGGAGGTCTCCGTTGGCTCCAAGCAATCTCCTTTGCATATTCGTAGTTAGCTTGGTGGTCGGTGGAGGTGTTTCGGTGCCCGGCACCTTTGTATCTTGCCTTGGGTGTGTGTGTTGTGTGTGTTGGTGGCGTGAGTTTGTATCGTCTCTCGGATGTATTGTGGTGGTGCTTTATATAATATAAAGCGGGGGGGGGGGGACCCTTTTTCAGAATATTAGATACAATGTGGAACCAATTTCATTTGGCGTTCTACAAACTTTCAACTTTGAACAACATGTACACAATGAGAACCAAAAAAGATTAGAAAACAAGAAGATCAGAAAAAGCAAGAAAGTTACTATGCACTAAGATTTTGTCTTTCGGTTGCTTTATTCCAAAATAATGGAACCAAGATATTTCCCGAAAATATGAAGACTACGACGAACAAGAAGGGAATTTCGTTGAGTTTATTATATTCGTCACAGTTGTAAACTTATAGTGACTTTAGAATTGTTTGTCAAATGCAGACTACTGCACTTGTTGGAGGGAGTGGCAGTGCAACCTTTGCAGCAACCAGTCATGTTTGTTGTGTATTCAGTAAAATGTATCAACCCAAACATCAATATAAAAAAAAATCTATAAACATTCTGCTACATTTTAACTGCTTTAACATGACCTGTAATTTTAAACAACATTTCAGATTTGCTGCATACTAAATTTTTGAGCAATAGCTAGCGGACGGGTTTAGCAATCCTGAAAGAACATGCATATTTACAAAAGGATAGCTGACAGGCCATACCAAATATTTCGTGCATGATTAAATAAAAAGAAATCGACAAGCCACGTTTTCTTTGCATGCCCAGCTATCAAAATTCACCTCATTTATGACATTGGAGTAAGTTATTTCGGATAGTTCACATGTTTTCTACGGATATTTAGTACTGTACTAACAGGCCATGTGAATTAATCACTCACTCACCAGACTGCACAATTCACGAAATGAAGTGAGGCACCAATGAATTCAGTGATGAGACTGAAGCTAATGCAGCTCACAGTTTGTTTTGATAAATGCAGGCACCTTTTTTTTTGTGAGAATGTACATGTGTTTATGGGTAGACATGAAAAAAAAGGAGAAACTAAAGGTCTCTAGATTATGAAATACCTGACATGAGTTTCCTTAGGCAAGCCTATATCATTGCACAGACAATATCCTCTACCTGCAAGCACAAAGCAAGGTTTTTCTAGAAAAATGGGCATAGTTTAAAAAGAACTGAATAAGATCTCGGTAATCATTGCAACTAACTTGCTTCATATTCAGCAAACTTCTTTGATTTTTGTAAGAACGACTTGACAAAAACACAAATACCTTCAGTGAAAGCTTGAGGCGCTGTTGTTCCAGGCTGTTGGATCGCCAGCTCTTCCAGCTGCCCCCTCTCAATCAGCCATGCCTCTCCCATATCTGACCTTTGAAGTGGCACAGCTTGTGGTTTACGTACACCCAACTTTGCAGCCAGTGATCCAGAAAGTCAAAACAACTGTGATGGGAACTGAAATTCACAAAATGGTAAATAATGAAACATTTATGGATATTTATGAAGCAGCAACTCTCCCATGACGAACATGAAGTATAAGCTCAATATATAATGTAATCCTATGATAGAACGGTAAAAAGGAGAAACAAATGCATCATCAAAGATATATTTTAGAAAGCCACATAAATCTAATCCATATTAAAAAAAATGACCAAATCATAATTGGCTTCAGAATTACATAGCAATTAGGATTATACAATCTACATATAGAAGTTAGAATTACAATGGTGATCTGGATTCTACATAGAAGTCAGAATTGTTGGTTCATGCAAATATGAACCTGGCGGGGACTTCCCCTCCGCAGGTAGTTGCATAGTCTTCAGCAAGGTGTGGTGCAGCTTCCATGTGAGGGCATATGAACTTCTCCACAAATTCTTTCTCGCTGATAATGAGTGTTTTATAGCAGTCCCGGTCGTGATTTAGCAATCCATTTTCCTTGAGAAACTTTACAATGTAGTACCGGGGTCTGACGCGGCCCTCCAAGCTGTACGTGAGCATTGCTGGACGATGAGCAATGTATGACGGCTCAAACCCCGCCTCAGAGATGAAGAACTCGGACCTGCGCTGCAGCGATTCTTTACTCCTCCTTAGCAATGTTGGAGCGTAAGAAAAAGCAATGCCCACCTCGGCATCCGACCACCTGAACATTTTCTTCAAGTGCTCTACCTTGGTGGCGATTTTCTCCTCACTGAGGAATGCAACAACTTGCAGCGCATGTCTGAACATCCGCGATTCACGGTGTACACCAAAACCTTCGACGCACGCCACTGCTGTCCGGATGCGTTCGATGCTGATGCTGAGCAGGGATGGCGTGTGTGCGTAGAGCTTGGCAATATCGCAAGCACCTAGCCCGCACTCCCGCAGGAAGGTGACATTGGGCTTGACCACCCGCTCGAGGTCGGAGGAGAGAACGGAGCCACTCTTGAGGGCTCGAAGGAGGTTCTCGGAGGAGCCGAAGAGGGGCATGCAGTAGTGCAGCCCGGCGATGATGGATCTGCAGCGGAAAGTGACGCCGGTGAGCGATGCGAGGCGCGCGATGTCAGAACGCGAGAGGCCGAGGCTGATGAGCCCCGCGACGTTGGGGGCCAGGGTCCTCTCCACGCCCGCGCAGAGCAACTTGGGGTCCTTGCGGATGACAGTGGCGACATCGGCGCCGGAGAGGCCGAGGCCGGCGAGGAAGGCGAGGACGGCGTCGGGGTTGGCTGGGGACTTGAGGTGGGAGATCTTGGGGGAGGCCTTGCGGGCCTGCGCTGGGGTGAGGCCGCAGGTGGCGACGAGGTACTCCTCCACGGCGAAGCTAGGGCTCGGAGAAACGGCAGGCGCGGCCGCGGAGAGGAGGCGGTGGAGGGAGGTGGAGGGAGATGAGAGGAGGCGGGGGAGGATGCAGCCCCGGAGGCGGAGCATGGCAGCGATGTTGGCGCGCCGGAAGGCGGCCGCGGCGGCGGCAAGGGAGAGTGGATGGAACGATGCGGGAATGGGGGATCCAATGTCGTGGAGAAGATTTCCATGGTGGCCCAACCCAGCCCAGTCCAGTGTGCATCACCTGCTGCTTGGCCCGTGGACGCCTGCTCCGTAGACCGTAGGCAATGCTAGTCCCATCCGTGCCCCGCTGCGCCCGTTCTCCATCCAACGATCAGATTAAATCTTCTTCCCCACGTCTTTTTTCACTTTTCAAAGAAAAAAAACACCAAATGCCCCGTACTTTCTTAAGTCTTTGGATTGGATGGGTTTGTACGTATTTTCTTGAGGTAAAAGCACCCCAGGTATCCTAACTTGCATGGAATGTGATGATTTGGTCCCAAACTTGTAAAATGCAACTCCACCATACCACAACTTGCATTGTATGTGACGATTTGGTCCTGGGCCTATCACAGCGCGACAAAGTGGCAGCCAGATGGGTGGACCGGTCTTTGCCCGCAGTTTTGCAAAAAACACCCTTCCATCTTGTCTAATTAATCCGCGCAATCAATGATGATGCCCAACCTTCTCTTAATCATCTGTTCAATTACTCGTCATTGTTATGATATTTTTTAGGCTCAATCATCAGCTCACAGCTTTCCCAATATGAATGCGTCGAAACAAGAGGGTAGGGTGTTCTTGCATTTGAGAAACTTGGTCCAGAACATTGCCAAACAAAACAAACCCAGTTCAGATCACAGCTCAGAAAAATCAAGTCATAGATTAGAATGCGTCTCAACATTTTTGACGGATCATAATCCCTAATGATTTACGCATATATTCATTCTCTGATGCAACATTTCACACAAAAGAAGTTTCATGTGGATTGTGAAACGAAGGCGGGAAATGCAGTCCCAGACCGTCCGAAGAGAAAGATCAGCAGCGCATCCCAGAAACATGCAGATAATTGCAGATCAGGCGGTCGCCGGCGCCACGGGGGACCGCGGACCGGCACGAAGAGCAGCGACGGGTCCAGACGTCCAGATACGGGTAGCGATAAAGCGCGGCGCGCCTCATGTCCTCCAAGCCGCGCTCGTACCCCCGCAGCTCCCGATCTGCGAGCGCGCGCGTACTCCCTGCTGGACCCCCAGAACCACCGCGCCGCCGTCCTCTCCGCGTCCGCCTTGGTCGCGGCGAGCTCGGCCTTCGCCTTGTCCAGCTCCAGCTCCGCCTGAAGCGCGTCCGACTCGGCGGCATCGCGCTCCCGCTGCTTCTGCTTCCTGTCCAACTCCTCTCGGAGCCCACGCGCCGCCGCCGCCGCAATCCTCGCATCCGCCTTGGTCTCGGCGAGCACGGCCTTGGCCTTGCGTAGCTCCGCCCGCAACGCGTCCGCCTCGGCGGTGTCGCGCTCCCGCGCCTTCATGTTCCTGCAAAGCTCCTCCCGCGTCACCGCCGCCGCCTTGGTCATCTCGTCGAGCTCGTACTAGTATTATACGTCCAAGTGCATGCATGCAGCAGCCATCGGACATAGAACTCGAACCCGTTCAAGTTTAAAATTGAAATGATGAGCAGAGGCATCAAAATGTCAAGGAGCCAACAGCAAGCAAGCATTTGGATAGTACTTGTCCTCCAGCTCCAGAGCGTAAGCGAGAAGGCCACCTCGTTCGCCGTCTGCGCCCCAGCATGTATGGCACCATGTCGATCGATCAATCCAGAACAACAAATCATCCAAGAATAATGCACAAGGAACAAGGAGCTCATCTGGAGCAGTGACACGTAGCTTGAGGCGACGATGTTGGGCGGCTTGGACGCGGCGAGCTTGCTCTCCCGCGACGGCGTGACGGTGCCCTGCAGCAGCAGCCTCTCGCTGCCTTCCAGTCACCATCTTTGCTTGTCGCAGGCGGCGACAACCAGGGGCCGGAGAAACCCGACGGGCAAGAGGGGTCTGACGCCGAGCTCTCGCCGCCCGGACGATCCTCCCCCCACCTTCCTCTTCTTCCCAAGCGACGACGCGCGAGACGTCACTTTGTAGTCAGGCTCGTTGTTCACTTTAATTCATGGCGACATGAACAGGCGCGGCTGCAAATCACAGATCATTACAATCCACAACAAAACATCCTGAATCGTTCTGAATTCTACAATGCCGGAGGTTTCACCTTTATGAGTTGGCGGCGGATCGATCGGGTGATATTGGCTGCGACCATGTTGTGCTGGTGGAGATACGCGAAGATATCGATCGGGGAACTCCCTCGAGCATGCAGCAGGCTGTCTGCCATGGCCTTCTCCTGCACGGTGAGCGACTGGTCGAAGGTGGAGGACCTGGAAGGATCGCCCACTCCACCAGGCACGGTCACGACGCCGACGACTCCAAGAAAAAGAAATCCTCCTTCCACCCCTTGATAAACTTGGCGCAACTAAAGAGCAGTACATAGCGAAGGGATTTCAGGCCGATTTAATTCAGGTTCCCTGTAGCGCGGGTTAATAAGACAGGATGGAAGGGTGTTTTTTGCAAAACTGCATGCAAAGACCGGTCCACCCATCTGGCTGCCACATGTCACGCTGTGATAGGCCCAGGACCAAATTGTCACATCTAGTGCAAGTTGAAGTATGGTGGAGTTGCATTCTACAAGTTTGGGACTAAATCATCACATTCCCTGCAAGTTAGGGTACCTGGGGTGCTTTTACCTCTATTTTCTTCTGTCCACTTTAGTCGGTCGCTTGAGCCAGGTAGGATGCGTTTGGTTACTTCCTTGCAGGGTCTGGCTGAGATGGAAAAAACGAGCTAGGCTGAGCAGGGTCTGGCTACAAAAAAAGGCATTGTCAAGTAGTTTGGTCATCTGCATATGAGGTCTTGTCATCGTGAAGCAATATTCACCCAATGTTTGGTTGCATACATGCATATGATTAGGAGTTAACAACTATACTTAACAATGACCAGGTTTGGCTTGACGCCAACTGCCTTCATTTCCTCAAACATGTTGAGCGTGCCGTTGAATTGGCTGGCTCCAGAATGACATGTCCAGGTCGCAAAGATCTGGCGGGACGGCACCGGAGCCCGACGGGGCCGCCCCTTCTTTGATATGTCTTTAATGTACTTATAATTTTTTATTGTTTCATGCTATTATAGTATCAATCTTGAATGTTTATTATGCAAATATATATTTTTTGGGACTAATTTATTAACTTAGTGCCAAGTGTCAGTTGTTGTTTTTTGCCTATTTCTGGCTTTCCAGAAAATCAGTACCAAACGAAGTCCAAATGCCACGAAACTTTTTAAATATTTTTTTCTGGACATAAGAGACACTAGAAGTTTTGGGAGAAGACCAGAATGAGTGGGAGGTGGCCACGAGCCACCAGGGGTGCGCACAGGGGGTAAGGATGGCAATTTTACCCATGTGTACGGGTACCCGCGGATACCGTACCTACATGGGCAGGGTATGGTCACAATTTTATACCCATGGATAGTACCCATACTCTACCCGTTAAGTCATTGGCAGGGTACGGGTATAGGCTTGTACCCATGGATATACTCATACTCTGCCCATTTATACGAACATGTAGACCTTACTCATGGAGCTCCAACATATGCGCAGGGGGCGATAGCGTCAAAGGAGCTGGGTGACCCAACTACTCCCGTAATTAAGCCTCACATCGTCAGACAAAATCCCCTCTTCTCCGTCAAATGCTTTTTGTCAAATGTTCTATCGATAACTGTAAAATTCTGAATAACTTGTGTACTTTTTTATCTACCCGTTGGGTACCCAATGGAAATGGGTACCCGTCGGGTATGGGTATAGGTAAAGATTCATACCCATGGATACAGGTATGGGTAGAATTTTGTACCCATTGACTGCACGTGTATGGGTATGGTATTGCTCTACCCGCCCCATACCCTACTCATTGCCATCCTTACCAGGGGGTAGGCGCGTCCTGGTGCCTCGTGCCCCCCCCCCCCATTCCTTCGTTTGACCTAATTCCAACTATAAATTCTCTAAAATCAGAAAACCAATAGAGAGCCACCCAAAATACTTTTTTGCTGCCGCAAGTTCCTGTTCTTGCAAGATCCCATCTGGAGGCATTTTTTGGCACTCTGACAAAGGGGGAATCGATCACGGAGGGCTTCTACATCAACCTTGCTGCCCCTCCGATGATGTGTGAGTAGTTTACCACAGACCTACGGGTCGATAACTAGTAGCTAGATGACTTATTCTCTCTTTTTGATCTTCAACACAATGTTCTCCTTAATGTTCTTGGATATCTATTCAATGTAATCCTTTTTCGTGGTGTGTTTGTTGGGATCCGATGAGTTGTGGGTTCATGATCAGATTATTTATTTATATTATTTGAGTCTTCTATGAACTCTTTTATGCATGATTATTATAGCTTTGTATTTCTCTCCAATCTATACGTTCGGTTTGGCCAACTAGATTGATTTATCTTGCAATAAGAGTGGTGTTTTGTTATGGGTTCGATCTTGCGGTGCTTAAACCCAATGACAAAAGGGGACATGGCACGTATTTGTATCGTTATCATTAAGGATAAAATGATGGGGTTTATTCATATTGATT